TTTCTAAGGAACAATGAGCCTTCTCAAGGGCTTACCTGGCGTTTTGGAGAACACACCTAAACACCCTAAAACTTGTGAATAACTCCAGCGTTTTGTGGAATACACCTGGGTGGGCATTTTCTATGTCCTTAAAAAATAGGTGTGGGAAATCCCAGGGGTAAGTAAAATGAAACATTCTTTATTGCAGGATTTCCTAAACTTTACTAGGTTAAATATTTGTCACTACAAGACCAAAATGTGCAGTGACTCCCAAATATATGGACAGTACAACCCCTTTCCATGAAGCACACTGTAGGATTAGTGTTCCTCAAAATATAAAGTGAGTTTCACTAGTAGTTACTTAAAAACTGATAATAGTACCCATATAAGATGTTTAAATACTAATAGGGCAGTAAAATGCAAAGTTGTCTTACTGTGAGGTGTTCAATTCAAAAACATTGTTCAAGTGCTGTGATAGACATATAAAGGTCAGATCATTTGAGATAAGACAGTTCTTAAAAAATGGAAATCAGCCATGACTAGTATGAATTACCCCAATTACACTGGCCTGTAATTCTCAATTGTCACCAATCAGTGGTGACGACTGAGAATTAACAGATTATAGCAACTCCTGTGTTTCTTTTGCTATGTTAGACACAATGGGAAATAAAAACAGATAATTACCCTAGAACATTCTGCCATCCAATTGAGGAGCTAAGTTTAAATAAGCAACAAGAAAACAGTAAGCCACTTTAGTTTCCCACTTGAAAAATAAATAATGTCATTGATAAGTCATTTCTCCTCAATGTCCTTACCAGCCACCACTGTTTAATTTCTTGGTACAGGTTCATATCTTTGCACAGTAAAATCCTTCTAAACTGAACTATTTACTAAGTAGATAACAAAATAAACATGTAGACTGACACTAAGAGAGAAATAACTTTTTTAAATGCCGTGTTATTTAATAACATAATGTCACAATTTTGACAACTTGCTCAGTTATTATGTGAATGTTTTTAAAATGACATTTTTACTCCTTAGGTCTCATATAGTACATGGTTTTTCCAATATTTGAAAGAGAGCATATCTATCATTCATGTCTTATATAGAGTTATAAATTCTCATATTTATCTTTCCTGTTCAGAGGCTTGTAACATTTTATACAGTTTTAACTCCTCCAGGTAAATTCCAGTAAATTTGTATTTTGGTGTATTCATAGGACATCTGATTTTATCTGGGTTATGTTTTTAATGATAATACAATATAATTGAATGACTCACCTTCTAGAATCCTATGAATAAACTATAAAAGATGAATTTTATTTGCAAGACATTAATGAAGACCTCCAGTGCATCTCCTCCTTCTGATATCTTTTAAAACAAATTTCATTCTTTTCACTCATTATTATTATGAAAGCTGTAAAAGTCAGGTCATATATATTTGCATATTTTTTAATCACTTTGAAAGACTGCTAAATATTCCTTCAGAGAAGATTCAAAGAAAACTAGGTTAGCTTTCAGCTAACCCTACACAGTATATGGAGCTAGCTTTTGAACTTGACCACCCTGGCACTGTCCTTTCATCTTCAGAAATCGCTGATGCAAGAGCATACATTTTCTTTCCACTTGTAGCATTCTATA